TGTAACAGTTTCTCTCTTATAGTTCTACTGCCACAAGAACCAGAGCAAAAGTGCTTTCTGAGGAAATTGGGTCATGGCATCTTGATATCTCAATAGATGGAGTGGTTTCTGCCCTTCTCTCTTTGTTTCAGACACTCACCGGAAAACGACCACGCTACAAGGTGAATGGCTTATATACTCGTCGAGTGCACTAATCTCTCTGCGAATGAGATTGGGATATTTTATGTTCTTCTTTTCTGTTATATTACATGGACTTTTATACTAAGTTGTTGAGTTGATGTTCTTCTATCAGGTTGATGGGGGTTCAAACATTGAAAATTTAGGGTTGCAAAATATTCAGGCTCGAATAAGGATGGTCTTAGCATTCATGTTAGCATCACTCTTACCTTGGGTTCATAACAAACCAGGTTTTTATCTGGTCTTAGGAAGCTCAAATGTAGACGAAGGATTACGTGGTTACTTGACTAAGGTATTGAAGATGTTTTAGGTTTATTATTGTTCATGGCTGCATCATTAGTCTTGTCGCATCATACTCTACCCGTTAAATTCATTTGATGTATGAAGACTTTCCAAAGAAAAATCAACCCCAAAATTCAGTATATATACAGCACTAGCTATTTCCAATCTGGCTGACTCCAGTTCTTAATGCTTCTCCCTCTCACCCCTCTTAGCTTGTAATAATGATGATTGGTTAATATTCATTAATCTTTTTCTTTTTACTATGCAGTATGATTGCAGTTCGGCTGACATAAATCCAATTGGAAGCATTAGCAAACAGGATTTAAGAATATTTCTAAGATGGGCCGCTGTTCATCTGGGCTACTCATCTTTGGCAGATATTGAGGCTGCTCCCCCCACTGCTGAGCTGGAGCCAATTCGATCTGATTACAGCCAGGTATATAAGTGATCACATTGAGCCAATAATTATAGGAAATGTTAATAATTAATTTTGTGAAACTTAATTTGTATTGGAAACAGCTGGATGAAGTGGATATGGGAATGACATACGAAGAACTCTCGGTATATGGAAGGCTTCGTAAGATATTCCGCTGTGGACCTGTTTCCATGTTTAAGGTGAGTGTTTAGTTTTGTTCAATAGCTCATACTCTTGTTTCTCGCTCGAGTTACCACACAATTTTCTCCATATAAACAACTCATCTGCTATATGTAATAAAATAACTGGGAAAATGTTGCTACTATCAATTGAATATTGCTTGCATATAAGAGTGTCTAGTTCAAGTACTAAGGGAAAAAAAAACGATTGATCATTAGCAGTTTCTCAAGTGTGCACACTGTAACACAAAATCTGTAACATTCCACGAGTGTAATAAAGATCCAAATGTAAATTCAGAAATATTACTTCATATGTTGGAAAATAAATATCGTTCTACAGAAAAATAAAAGAAATAGCAATTCACGTGTTTGTCGAATATAACTTTCATTAAATCTTTCTAAATTTTATATTTATGCGTCTCTTTCCTAATAATGCTTAGAGAATCCAGATTTTATTTTAAATTAAAATTATGAGATTCTTTTATGATTTTTTATATAGATATAATTGGAGTAATAGTCTAAAACGACATATAATTGGTAACAGAAAGTCCAACTGAAAACGACAATTAAAACGAGACTGAGGGAGTATGTCTATTTTTATTGTGTAGAAAAATTTCAAGAACGCCAGAGGGATTCATATGCTTGCTTAGAGTCATTGTGTGAGTCTGAGACATATTCCTTTGCTATGAAAATATTGTTGTTGCTGCTGCTGCAGCTATTAAATGATATCAAACTCATATTCTCACACTGCCGAATTGTCAAAATTTGGTTGTAATTTACCGTGGCTCATTGTATGTGGTTCCTTTTGCTCTTTCTTCTTTTCCCCCCAAAAGAATCTCTGTTACAAATGGGGAACTAAGTTGACACCATCAGAGATTGCCGACAAAGTGAAACATTTCTTCAAGTACTATTCCATCAATAGGCATAAGATGACCGTCCTAACACCTTCCTATCATGCAGAGGTACCAACTCCATTGGCATAACATTAATTTTCTTCATATTTTTTATTTTTCCACTTAATTTTGCTTCCACAAACGCGCGTATATGAGTTTCATTAGCATGGTACAGAGTATTTATTAAACCTGAAATGCCTCTGCAGAGTTACTCGCCAGAGGATAACAGGTTTGATCTACGCCAATTTCTATACAACGCGAGGTGGCCTTATCAGTTTCGAAAGATTGATGAACTTGTGCACGATTTGGATGGTGATAGCGTGGCCATAGCAAAATCTAGTGACGACACGCCTGACGGTGGCATGGGTGTAATAGCTGCGGGTGCAGGCAACCCAAGTGCTGGTTTTTAAGTTTGTGGCGTAAGCTTTCAGATATAGCAGTGGTTTATGGCTGTGAGTTTTTAGTATACGAACCATCTGTTCGTGAAGGCCAACTCTAGCTTTCTTTTCATGTCCACCTGTCAATGCTGGCATAATACTAAATCAATAAACAAATAAATAATCTTTCCAGATTATATAAAATATGATAGTGTTTCAATGGTGTGGGAGGTCGATGTGATGAACTGAATTCTCCCCTTATATATATATATATACATATATATATATATATATATATATATATATATTTCAAGAACGATTAATTTTGTGTGTTTGGAACTCAGTTAAGATGTCCTCATTTTGTATTGGAAACTGTCTTAATATTTCTTTTTCTCATTCAGCTTTGTATAATGTGAATAAACATTATTTGTTCGTCGTGTGAAATTTTGTGTTTTCTCTAAAGTTTCTCGACTTTCGGGTGCTTTTATAAGAGTTTTATGAGAGATATTTCTCAAATGTGTTTGTGGACAGTAGATGTGGTGTTTGTGACCCAATTCATATTGAATGTTTGGAGATTGGACCTAAGGATTTGAAAGACCAAGTGCCTGTTCACATGTAGAAGGACACAAGTATGCAGGCAATGTGATAACTTTTGGTACGGATCGTGAAACTCTTGAACGGAGAGAATAGAGAAGAGGGAAAACGACGACTGATATCAAGTGCTTGAATTGAGGGAGAGCCGAAGCCGAGCTCCGGCCTCAACACTCTCGTATCCGGCGTCTACCGCTACCGTTCCTGTTTTCTGACCAAAAAGGGGGAGATGGAGAACGACACGTCAATTGTAGTATCGTCAAGTGCTCAACTTCATTACTGTTTCCATTTCTCATCTCTATCTTTTTTATGTCCTTTTTTCTTTTCATTATATTATTTTCATTGTATTATTTAGGGGGAGTTGTTGATGTTTATGATTTGGAATCATTCTGTTTGCGTATATTTTTTTGTTCAGAAAAGTAAAAAGGAAGAGATTGTTAAATCATTTTTTTTATTAATTTATTTTCTTTAATCTTTGATCTCTTGTTGTATTCGTGTGATTTATTATGGTCTTCGTTTTGTTGATGATGCAATATGATATAGTGCATCTTGTTATCAGACTTAGTGATTTATTTTTCGTCCTTCACTAGACGTGGTAGGATTGTTTTGGAATTGTATGGAAAACAATGAAGTTGATTTGTTATAGTGAATTTTTAGCATGTGACTTTAGTCTACAAGTAATTTTTACTTGTAGGCTAAATTTTGAATCTTTCGCGTTTATTTAATTTTCGCTGCGTATTTACTTTTTTATATTTGCGTGAAAATATATATATTTGCGTACCTAAAATCTAACACATTTGATAAGCAATTTCCAAAACCCAGAAAATTTATAATGCTATCTTTGGCATGGATATTTTACTTTTTTTTTTTAATAGCCAAACACGGTATCTGGAGCTATGCCCCGACTAATCCGTTAGTCGACCCGGGTTGCACACCTGGCAATGGTGGGTGAGTCTCCCAACAAAAGTTTTCTACATCCACAAGGACTCGAACCCAAGATCTTGCTTAAGCGACATCAAGTTGCTTACCACACAGTTACTATTAAAAACTATTAAAAACTAAACTAATATGTGCATCATCAACACACAGCAGAAGCCGAGTAGAGAGTATCTTCATCCTAAACACCACAATCGCCACGTGGCGGGCCACAGAACCAGTGACACCGAATGTGTCCAACCAATGAAATAACACCTTATCCTATCTCTTATCTTACTCGCACCAACACCACCAACATTATCTATCTCAACACATTCACCACACTATACTTTTGTAATAAAACAAGCAAAAGGTTTTAGACCCAGTTTAGTGATCATGGCGTCCTCATTACAAGCAGCTGCAACACTCATGCAGCCGGCCAAGTTCGGCGGGTCCACCAGAAGCAGCCTCCAGCTCCGACCGGTACAAAGCGTCGGCAAGTCGTTCGGCTTCGAGCCGCCCAGCACCTGCAAGGTGTCGTGCTCGCTTCAGACCGATGTCAGGGATTTGGCCCAGAAGTTCACTGATGCTGCTAAGATTGCTGGCTTCGCTCTTGCCACGTCAGCACTTGTGGTCTTGGTATTAAACGTTTTTTATGTTTTTTTTATATATATTATATAAATTCTGTCATATTAGTTAATGACTTGGAGTGCTAGTAGTTTTGATTATTATTGCATTTTCAAAACTACAACAAATAATTGACCTTAAATCAAAGAGTACAACTGTAACTGTCTGAGTTAGACTTAGACAGAGGGTTTTCTTGATTGAATAAGCTGTAATAACCTGATCAGTGCCATCTGTGATGACTTAAGTGCATGATAACAGCACCATTTGATCGTAACTTTAACCACTGAGTAAAAAGAAGAACTTACTGCTTACCTTACCAATAGTCCAAAAAAAATATACAATACTTGTGAATTTTGTTGGCAAGATTGAGCAAAAAACTCTTTAACATAAAGACATACTTTTTTCAAGGTTCAAGTATAATTTCTCTGTGACCTACTCACATAAAGTGCTTTTTTGAACCTTGTGAAACATTCAAGTTGCGCCACAACATATTCCCAATCAAAAAAGAAAAAGAAAAAAAAAAAAACATTTCAAACCACTTTTACTAACTCGCCTTCGCAGGGAGCCAACGCTGAGGGAGTCCCCAAACGGCTAACCTACGACGAGATACAGAGCAAAACATACCTCGAGGTCAAGGGCACCGGCACGGCCAACCAATGCCCCACGATC